GAAATAGAGGAATTGCTCTTTGTCGAGAATTTGGGTACCACCGACCGAGAGGTAAGTGGTGGAAAAAGATGAAAAGATTCTCCGCCCAGTCCTCCTCCGGGGGAGGGAGTGGTGTGCTTACCATCTCCTGAAGAGCACATCCTTCCACCTCTGGGTTGCCCGTCTCCGGGCCTCTTGCTCTCTCGCTTGCCACCAGGTTTGGCGGGGGCCTGGACGGGCAGGGTGGCTGCCCTGCGTCCGGCTCCACGGCACAGCTTTGCTGGAGGCCGCAGGAGCGCTGCTCTTGTTTTGGCGGTGGCAGGGGGGCCGCCCTCGGCGACGGCAGCAGCTGCACGGCGGGGCAGAATGTACCTGATGGCCTCAGTCTGCTTTGGTCAGCAGAGAACCGCTGGGCAAGTTCTCCACCGTGTCGCCGACAGGCCGGCCTGGGACACGGGGGCGTTCAAGAATCGTGTCTTGTCCATCTCACGCATAGGGCCACCATAGTGGACATCGCACGACCGAGAGACCGCGCCGTAACCTTCGTCGCTCGTGGCGCAAGGTCCGCCGCGGTGCGGAGTTCTCTGCGAACTTCCGGGTCGTGACCACCCTCGTGCAAGTCCCTCAGTGCCTTGGCCTGTGCCGTAGCGTGTAAGGCGGAGGCAGCTTCTCCACAGGTCGTATAGGCATCGCCCCCTTGCAGGTAACGGAGTCCGGTCCGCAACTCCGAGATGGTCATACCCCCGCAATGGGAGCATGAGCCATCCACGAAAGCCACCTCAGCGTGCTTCATGCCCAGGCACGAGAAGCAGCGATCGTGACCATCACCCAGCGCCAGGTAACGACCGCATCCAGAACGCCCGGGTGATACGTTGTCTATAGCAAAACCCACATCGTCTTTACAAAGACGTAACGTCAAGTTTGCCAAGCAACGTCGTCTTTAAAAAGACGCACCCGAAATTGCTCTTTTAGGGGAAAAAGCTCTTTTAGCGTGCTGAGGCGCGTAGGGGAGATGATCATCTGCAACACAAACAGGGGGTAGTGCAGCCTGATGTGTGCAACCCACTCGACACGGGAAACCACCACCGCTGAAGCGCCGTACCGCCAACACGAGGAGCTCTCCAAGAGCGCGCTGAACTCGTTCAGTCTTCTTCTCTCAGTAGAGTAGTCAGGAGCAGAACGATGTGATCGCTCGGCTCCGAAGCGAAAAGCTGAATATGCGCTGCATCTGCTGCCTACTTATACTCACTCTGTTATCAGCAGCAGCTGGATGCAATAATCGCATGCCAATGTGCATTGGCTCGTTTAGTTTACACTCGAAGTAGATTGGTCCCTCTAAGCGAGATCCTAATTTCGTCGGTCATCCGACGTGACGTCGGGAGTGACCGACTGAAAGGGAACTAATGTTTCCACAATGTTTGAATGCAAGCATTACATCACTTGCTCACCAATGGGGCTTTTCACTTTACAAGACATCAACTGATGGACTGAAGTGGTGTGGATTACTTGTGCATTATTGTGATCTTTTTATCAGCTGTTTGGACTCTCATTCTGACGGCACCCGTTCACTGCAGAGGATCCATTGGTGAGCAAGTGATGAAATGCTACATTTCTCCAAATCTGATGAAGAAACAAACTGATCTTGGTCATAGCCGCGGGAACTAGGGGTACTGCAGCACCCCCTGCTGACACAACTTTAATTTCTTTTCCTACATTTTTAATTTTCCACATTTGCTCATAAAATTACTCTAAAGATGATTTTGTTTTTATATGTTGTCGAATGTGGTTTGTGATTTTTGGATCAGAGAGCTTTTTGCCATTGGATCAGAATGCTGTCATTCACTGCCTGATTCGCAACCATATTGTAGCCTATTGTAGCTGCATGCGATGCAGATTTTTTCAAAAAGGAGGAAGATACATAACTCAACCACAGACCGTCGCTGTTCTATTTATTCTGATAACTTTTGTGTGACTGATCACGCTGTAGCTAGTATGAGTAACAAAATGTTTTCTCTGTGTCCTGTTTTAACTGCAATAATAATAACTGACACTTCAAATCAACATTTAAATGTCAACTTTTATTAAATGTAGTCTTTAATAATGTCTGAAAATATATCTAAATTAATAACTTAGTACAAGTAATGTGCTTTATGTCTTAAGTTCTCACTCTGCAGCAAACCATTTGTATGTATTTATATATAGGACTATTCAGCCATCTAGTGGTTACACCGTGGTGCATAATTTAGAGGTTATTATCTAGAAAAATCCCGTTACAAATAATAAAAAATATTAAAGAAAAAAATATTATTGAACTTAAATCACAAAAGCACAACTATATATTCGTTCTCATTTATCTCTGTCTTAATTTGTATGTTCATCTATAAGTGTTTGGGCTGTTTAACCGTGGCCCCGGCCTGCAACATCAAGCCCCACCCCCCAGCACCCTCCAGCACCCCCAAGATATAATATGTTCCCGTGGCTATGATCTTGGATGGGCTGAGGGTGAGTAAATTTTCAGCAAATTTTAATTTGTGTGTGAACCATTCCTTTAACTTTCATGTAAGCAAAAAAAAGAAAGAAAAGATTTTAAACCATTTTACTCGCTCAGAGAACATTCAGAAATAATGTTTTTATAACTTAATGGGAACATTATAAAAAAGTGATCTTAGAACTTAGAATAAGTTTTGTTAGCGAGGATGGTCCTGAGATAGGTTTTAAAAATATTAACCATTTTAATCTTCACACACTATATTAAAACCTAATTGTACAGATTGAATAGTTCGTTTACATGAACGCTAGGCTATTCGTACAGAGTGAGTGATGTAAATGTAATCCATTTTTCATAAATTTCATCATTGCTTAGCATGCTTTACGCACACAGCCAGATACTTCTAACCACACATACTCTGCACCCTCAGTTTTTTTGCACTAATTAGTTGGTCCACAAGGTGGCAACACTGGGCCATTGTTTCAGTCGAAAAAGAAAATGAGGAAATGGAGCTAGAAGACAATCCTATAAACGCAACAACAACACATGCCCACGTTGATAAGTGGGGTTAAAAGATACTCGCAACTCTAGTTGAAACTATATATATTTTTTAATCGGTCATAACTTCTGGATAGAAATAGCATAGATATTGGACAAGGATGAAGCTTTAGTATGCATGTGTCGATCGACTATGTGTTCACGTACATTATCAAATGGAATATAGTTTGAATGGCTGTGCATTCAACTCTACATTTAAAAATTAGGCTACTGCTTGAGGCGCCACGATGGTGCAGTGCAAGCCAAATGTTTGTCAGTGTTGGCGTGCCAACCTGCTCTGCTGTGCTGCGTAATATCATCTACAGGTGTATGTGTAGGTTATCAGACTCTGCAAACAGTATCATTTCAATGCTGACGAACCTGGCACTAAATATAGTCATTATGTGGAACCATTGGTGTTTTAGCCTGTATGTAAATATGTGATATTGTGGATTCTGTATGTCTTTATTATTTGTCTGCTTATTTGTTTGTGTTTTTGGACTGTGTGTGTCCTTAATAACGTTTTGATTGATTGATTTATTGATTGATTGATATGCATATGCTAGTCTTCACATCAAAACTTTTAGATATAGAATAAAAAAAAAAGCTAATTATTAATGTTAAATGCAGTGGAATTATGAAATGACATGACAAGAAATGTCGACATTTACATGTTCGTGATAGCTTAGAACTTAGGTTCTTTGCTGTTTACATCAGGTCTGTTTTATCCGGTATTAACACCTGGCCTGTTTTTAGCAAAAAGATAATGAATTTGCATTTCAAATAGCATATGGCTGATACAGTTTAGGTGAAACCCACACACGTTGGAAACTGGCACTCCAATTAGCTTAAACATCTGGCAAGATCCATGTTCCACAATAGAGTTTGTTTTTATCACTTAGACAAGAGAATCAAATGGATTAAAACAGACCATTTTTGAAGAAAAATCATGACTGCAGTCAAAAAGACCATATTTTCAGTGATTCAGGACGTTTTAAAATTTGAGCATTTGTTGAAGATCCAAGGTCATATTTGTTGATGTAAAAGCTTTTTCCAGTTTGCTTAAAGTAGTCTTGAATATGGTTTTTGTGGAGTCAAGTATGTTTAAAAATAATTAGATTTAAAGGACTAGATCGCCCTAAAATTAACATTGACTAATCTTCAGGCCATTTGGAGAAGCTTAGCATTACTTAACTTGCTCACCATTGGATCCTCTGCAGTGAATGGGTGCCATCAGAATGAGAGTCCAAACAGCTGATAAAAACATCACAGTAACCCACAAGTAATCCACACCATTCCAGTCCAGCAGTTAATGACTTGTGAAGTGAAAAACTGCATGCTTGTAAGAAACAAACCATCGCTTCTGGATAAAATTTGCGTCTATAATCCATAATAACGCTTTCTCCAGTGAAAAAGTCTGTCCCCTCTTGTCCTCTCACATCAAAATCCATCCACATATTTGTTTAGAACTGTTTTGGTCAATTTTTCCTTGTAAAATGTGCTTGATCTGTGTATATGTCTCTCCTGATTCAGACCAGACAGTGAAGAAAGCAATATTATGGACAGAGGACTCCCATCTGAATTTATACCTAGCTATAATGGTAAACAACTGCTGGTGATACTCACGCTGATAAGGAAAATGTATCGCAATTCACTTCTGGTCGATACGAAGCAGAGATTTATTACAAAAAATCAAGCAATTGTCAGGCAATTTTCTAAAAAAAGCTTCTGAGCAGGGTAATGTTTTCAGTCAGTGGCAATAGATGTAATTGTGAAGTATTGTCCAACAAGATATCTGTCACCGTAATAACAGCTTATTATTTTCTAATGGTTATTGTGACCTTCAGTGTGTCCGAACCTCTGCCAGAATGGGGTTTTTGTCACTGTCTGGGGTCATTGATGTCTATTGATCTGAATCTCTCAAGGCTTTCAGCTGACCCTGACAAGATGACTGTCATAACCTTTCATTTGATGCCATCGGGATGTTGAGAAAGTGTAAAACCTCTTTAACTGGCAAATCCATTTAGGTTTAGGAAACAAGCATGCAATGTCTTTTATAATGGAATCCCAGATTTGGTTTGGTTTCCATTTATACCAAGGATGTCTAGTTAACCATTAGCATCTCAATTTCTGAGATGTAAAGTCAAAGGCAGCAGAAATGAAAAGTAACGTCATACAGGTTGGGACTTTTTTTTTAAGGACGTCTTCAAGATGTCAATCAATCGTCCTGCAAGTAAATAAATATTATCTAAATAATGAGATCCACTCATCACAGATTGAAATCAAGTCCCATATGTCATTTTTTCAGGCTCACCGAAAAGATCTAATGGCACTTTTGGAATGGCTGAAATTTTCCCAAGCTAGTTTTCCTGTTCTGTCAGACACTATTAGAGTCATCCGTTCCTAACTCATAGGAGTAGGGCCATTTATGATTAAGCGGTCTCAAAAATACACATATTTGAGTTAGCCATGGTTGACGGGACAGAAAAGCCTACTAAGCCAGCTGTAGTATGTTTAATGAAAGCAGTTGTAGTGGGAAGACAGACTATAAGAGTGTCCCTGAGGAAGCAGGACTGACATCTAAGGGTGGGTGTCAGATCTGGACGACAGCAGAGCTAATTGGAGAAAAATTGCTAAGAATATTGCATGAACTTCATTGGCGTCCCATGAGATCCTCCGCCGGTGAATTGGGAAATAGTGGGTCTTAATAGAACTGTCACGGCTTTTCCTCACAGTTTAAGGTGAGCCTAATGTCTGACCACTGTCGTTATTAAGACATTTTTAAGTAAAGGTATGCTTAGCCCTCGGTCAGACCCTGAGAAGCTTGATTTTATGTGTGTGGAATAAATTTCCCATCGATACCAAATGAATAAACTTGACTCTAAAATTCCCTACAGATTTGTCACAACAATGACTCTATTAATCTATGTCTGTCAGCGCTGAAGCTAGTCTGTGTGCTAATCTACTCCTAAACGTAGACAAAATTCACTTTTAGAAGAGGTGCGCTTTTAAAAATGACATTTTTTGGGAAAACTCATCTTGTGGTAGACAATTGTTTTGTCCAATCAAATGCAAATGTGAAATTCCCTGCAACTGACTAGCAGTTATCAAACTGCAAACAGCCTTATATCTATTTTAGAAAAAAACCCACAAGTCATTCCTTCCTGTTTCAGTAGAAAATTTCAACACTTAAAGACTTAAACTATAAAACTGTAGCTTTCATGCTACAAGCTAATTGCAAAAAAGTAGTTAGCTATACTACAAGCTGCTCACAAAAGTAGCTTAAATCGCTACAGTGTGGCTGTTACCAAGAGAGCAAATACCAATTTAAGCATTTTTTAACCTTTTAAAATATGTATTTATTTATTTTTACTCCCCAACACTGCCTGTGAGCAATAACTGCAAATAAATCTATTTAAACCGCTAAGTTGAAGATGGCAAAACTGAGACAACATTAGAGACCAAAGTAAGATAAGCACCTAGAATGTCAGGCATTACTCTTCACAGCGTTAAAGATAGCGGCCAAAACATGCCAAGATTTGTCAAATGAAAGATTGTTCCTAAAGTGTGTGCTAGCTTCAAATGTTTGTTTTGTTGCTCTTCCTCACATATTTCTTCAAAAGCTTCCAGAGCTGACTCCATTTCTTTGTGTTTATGTCTCCTATGAGAGCATTTAGGCACACGTTTCGCTTCAAAGTGTTTGCTCTACTTTGCCTTTTTGTTTTGTTTCTTCCTTCCAGGTCAAGAGCGAATAGGAACAGACTCCAAATACGAGCAGGAAGGGAAGGTGCAGTTTGTGATAGACGCGGTGTACGCTATGGCTCATGCCCTGCACAACATGCAGAAGGACCTTTGTCCTGACCAGTCGGGCGTTTGTGGAGAGATGGAGCACGCTGGTGGCAAGAAGCTCCTCAAGTACATCCGATCGGTCAGCTTCAACGGTGAGTCCACCAAAGCTCACGACATCAGATAAATGCCACAATGAGTCAAAGATATCTTACTGATATTAATTTGGTTATATTTTATTTTAAGGTGATGTTATTACACGGTAATTACTCAGTAATAGTAATTAACTACATGCATACTATTAGGTTAGGATTTGGGTTTATTTTAGGATTAGATGCTTGTAATTATGCATAATTTACTGTTAATACTATAGTAAGTGCATGTAATGTATAACTATGTAATGTTAAAGTGACACGATACAGTGTCACGATTACTTCATTCAAAAATACATTAAAAAAATGCAATTCATAGATACAATGGCTTGAATGCATGTCTTCTATGATAACACTACTACTTTTTTGCATGTTTTTAATTTGTGAATTAAAATGTATTTTTATGTTTTTGGCCATGAAAGTAAAAAGAAAAATATTTAATTAAACATTATAAAAAAAATTCTGCAAAATGTCATGTGGTGCAACCAGGGAAAAAAAAAAAACAAGGAAAAACGTGATATCATGGAGAGGACATTTCTAGACCCTTATGTTAAAATATTAATAATTTACCTTTTTATGACAAGGTAAGGTTAGTTCAAGTCATAAAATGCCATGTGGTGCAACTCCCTAAAAATTTAATGATATATGTTATTTATCTATTACTTATTACTTTGAAAAATATATTTAAAAAATATTTATAAAAATAATGATTAAGTAAACTCACATGCTTTCAAAGTGTAATGAAACAAATACTTTGTTTACACCACATTATGTTTTAGACTAATTTATAGTTTATATACTATTATAGCTTTTTAGTAATATCTTGAATTAGTTTTAATTGTTTTACATTTTCATTGTAATTATAGTTTTAATTATTTGAATTGCTTTTGCCATTTTTATTAATTTATTTTTACTATTTTTCAAACATTTTTGTCTATATAGTTTTTATTGATTTTTAAATCAGTTTTAGTTAATAAAAATGTTATTTTATATTTTATTTTATTTGAATTTTATTTAATGTTCATTTTATTTAAAGCAATGGAAATGTTTATTTATGGTTTATTTATCAAAACCATGGGAAACCATAATGAATATATAAATCACATTTCTAAGATCTTGACATGTTTTAAATTAGATAAAAAAAAATTCTCTCTCTGTCTCTTTTATATATACTTTGGGTATTAGCATTTTGTAACTACACTGAAAAAATCTGGTGGTAAAACAATTTTCACTCAAAATTGCTAGTAAATTGCAAATAACAAAGAAATCGCAAGTAACTTTTGAAGTAGAAAAACTGAAATACAATTTTTTTCTCATATATATATATATATACATACAAACCCGATTCCAAAAAAGTTGGGACGCTGTACAAATTGTGAATAAAAACAGAATGCAATGATGTGGAAGTTTCAAATTTCAATATTTTATTCAGAATACAACATAGATGACATATCAAATGTTTAAACTGAGAAAATGTATAATTTTAAGGGAAAAATAAGTTGATTTTAAATTTCATGTCATCAACACATCTCAAAGAATTGGGTTTGTATATATATATATACACAATATTTACAACTTGAAAAACTATTTTTTACAGTGTACTTTGACAGACTTTACAGCCTGGTTTGGACAATACTGAGCAGGTTTCTTCTGTGCCAGTGGACACACACCATGCATTTCTCTTTGAAGCAACCTTTGTTGCTGCTGCTTGCGTGGGACTCCAACTTTCTGAATACTTTATATCTCACATATCCCAAACCTGCCTTTGTGTTGCACCACTGAAAGAGGAAACTCCCAAGAAGAAAGGAAATCTCTCATTAATGCATCTTAATGAAGTGAAACTTTTGTAGTCATGCACCAGAGCACAGCTAGATCAAAGTGCAACTGCACCTTTGATGTCTGTGTCATGATGAGAAAATAGTATTTGAGGTAAATACGTGTTCTAACTAAAGGCCTGGTGAACGATACTCCAAACAGACTCGATAAAATACTAGCTTTTAATTACTAGATTACAAAGACTGCTGGAAAAATGTTAATGAAGAAATCTGCAAGAATTTTATGCCACCAAACAATGTAAATTATTATTATTATTATTATTATTATTATTATTATTTTAAGTTTTGAAGAAAAACACTGAAACATACAATAGTACAAAATGTATTTGTGTTATTATACAAATTGTATTAATTAAATATTCTAGGCACTTTAAGCAATCAATTTCATTTATATTTTGTGCAACTTTGAAGTTTTTTTTTTTAAACTTTGTTTTATGAGCCGCCGTAGTTGTTTGTTTCATAAAGATACATTTTTGTGAAATACCTAATATTAACAAATCACTCTGCACAAAAATGTTAAACAACAACTTATTATTCTGATAATAACAAGCTTTTGATCAAATGTTTTCGCTGAAAAGTCTTTTATGATGAGCATCCGGTTTTATTCTATTCCATAAAAACACAAAAGAACAAGAAAACATCTTGAAATAATATTGCTTCAGCTGTCACTAAATTGTTTTCTGTAGTGTTCTTATAAAGTAAACAGCCACATTTGAATATCATATGCCAGCTTATGGAAATACATCAAAGCTAGTCAATAACAAGAAACGATAAAAACGATGTGATTTGCTGTGCTTTAAGACTGTAATGAAGAAAAACAAGCTATTATTTGTGTTTTATCATGATTGTATATCTAATGTATATATATATATATATATATATATATATATATGTGCATTTAATGCATTTATAATTACTTTTAAATTTATTTAGCCATCTAGATTTCCTTTTAAAAATAAATTACTTAATAAAATAAATATGAATATTTATGTAAATGTAAACATGCACCTAATATATATATACTGTATATATATATATATATATATATATATATATATATATATATACACATATTGGAAATACATCAAAGCTAGTCAATAACAAGAAACGATAAAAACGATGTGATTTGCTGTGCTTTAAGACTGTAATGAAGAAAAACAAGCTATTATTTGTGTTTTATCATGATTGTATATCTAATGTATATATATATATATATATATATGTGCATTTAATGCATTTATAATTACTTTTAAATTTATTTAGCCATCTAGATTTCCTTTTAAAAATAAATTACTTAATAAAATAAATATGAATATTTATGTAAATGTAAACATGCACCTAATATATATATACTGTATATATATATATATATATATATATATATATATATATATATTCACATTTTCACTCAAAATTTCATCTTGATAATGCCATTTATAATTAAACATTTTGTATTAAATTAAAAAAAAGCATTTTGACTTTTGCTTTCCATCTGATATTGTTTACTGTAGCACACTAATAGTTAACTGATAATTATAAGCTAATACTTATAATTTATGAGCACTGCATGCACAATAAGAAAACCTTCCCTCTGGCATGCATATATAATACATATACATATTCAGAATGTAAGTGCACACATGACATACTTTATTTTGAAATGCAATTTTCAACTTTTGACTTGACAGTTGGAACATTTATGTATACATGTTTTGCATAAATACGTTTTAAAACATATACTTTTGAATTTTGAATATTGAATTCATCGATGGATGTTATTGTATGAAGCATAAACAATGTTCTAGTTTTCTGAGTGAAAAAATAGAAATACTGATCTAATTCAAACAATACGTGCTATTAATATAGCCAGTTTAAGCAGTCTGGCATATACAATTTATACAATAGATCTATCATAGTGAATAAAATAGTGTTAACAGTATTAAATTATTGAAACTCATTAAATAGTTTGGAATTATAATTAAGCAGGCTGACACAGTGAATAAATTAGATTACATTAAAGTAGATATTTCTGAAAGTGCATGTCATACAACTAACCTGTTTATCTAGTACTACTCTTATTAATTAAATGGTGCAGTCCTGTTTTTTTGCTGATTATTTATGCATGTTAACTCTTGTGATGAAAGGATGTGTCACATACACAGGGAAAGATGAGAATAAATTTAATAAATAAAAAGAGAGAACATACTGCTTGAAGTTGGGCGACTGACGTTTCTGCCATTTTTTCAAAGGGTTTCCTCCAGCGCGAACATAAAAAAAGATTCAAAGGCTCCTTGCATACTAATAATTAATATACTTAAGAAGGTTCCATCCATATCTAATATCTACAGTGCAATTACTGTATAATATTGAGATTGGAAGTCTCTGAGTAGCATAGAAGTTTAGCGGGTGAAGTCACTGCTGTGATGTGACGTAACTGGGTCATTTTGCTACTGGGTTTTTAAAGACTTGTATGAGGTGAAAAATATGAAAGCCCATTTCCACCACGGAAGGAAGGAAGGAAGGAAGGAAGGAAGGAAGGAAGGAAGGAAGGAAGGAAGGAAGGAGAAAATAAATAAATAGGTAACTGTGACTTTTTATCTCACAATTCTGACTTTTTTCTTGCAATTCTAAATTTATATTGAAAATTTATATCTGTATATAAAAATATTGTCAGACATAAACTCAGAATTTAGAGTTATAAACTTGGAATTCTGAGAGAAAAACAAACAAACAAACTACAATTGTGAGATGTGAACTCAGAATGCTGAGAAAAAAATCAGAATTTCAAGATGTTAACTCGGAATTCTAAGAAGACAAAAAAGGTCAGAATTCTGAGATGTAAATATGGAATTTCAAGAAAAAGTCAGAATTGTGAGATGATAACTCGCAATTCTGAGAAAAAAGTCAGAATTTCAAGATGTACACATGGAATTCTGAGGTAAAAAGTCAGAATTGCAAGATGTAAACTTAATTCTGAGAAAAAAAAGGTCAGAATTGTGAGATGCTAACTCGCAAATCTGAGAAAAAGTTAGAATTGTGAGATGAAAATTTGGAATTCTGAGAAAAAAGTCAGAATTTCAAGATGTAATCTTGGAATGCTGAGAAAAAAGTCAGAATTTCAAGATGTCAGCTCGGAATTCTAAGAAGAGAAAAAAGGTCAGAATTCCGAGATGTAAATTTGGAATTTCAAGAAAAAGTCAGAATTGTGAGATGGTAACTCGCAATTCTGAGAAAAAAGTCAGAATTTCAAGATGTAAACATGGAATTCTGAGAAAAAAGTCAGAATTGCAAGATGTAAACTTGGAATTCTAAGAAAAAAGAAGGTCAGAATTGTGAGATGCTAACTCGCAATTCTGAGAAAAAGTTAGAATTGTGAGAAGAAAACTTGGAATTCTGAGAAAAAAATTTGAATTGTGAGATGAAAACTTGGAATTCTGAGGAAAAAAAGTCAGAATTTTAAGATGTAAACGTGGAATTCTGAGAAAAAAAGGTCAGAATTGTGAGATGCTAACTATGGATTCTGAGAAAAAAAAGTCTGAATTTCAAGATGTAAATTTGGAATTCTGAGGAAAAAGTAAGAATTGTGAGATATAAACTTGTAATTCAGAGGAGATAAAAAAGTAAAGTTATCGGCAGAAGCAGCGCCGATACGGAAGGTTCTTGTTAATTCAGTGTGAAGTGGAAGGCTGTTATTTGTGGTATTCAGCAGGTTTTCCAGGCCCTTATCCACTCTTTAAGTGTTGCTATTGTGTAATTGTTCTTTATCTCTGCGGGTCTCCTGTACTTTTCGGTGTCTTCATTCTCCCCAAAGTCTATTAGAAGAAGAGGACATTTCTTCCTTCTTCCCATGATGCCCTCTTAACAAAACCGGACAAACAAAATGAACCTGAAAAGGCAGCGGGTGACGCCAAAGTGACTGAATAATAAAGGAACTAAAATACACTCAAGCAGGTTTTTATCCACCCGTGTTGCTCAATGCAACAATCTTTAGAATTTTTGCTGAATCTTACCTTAATTACTTTCACTGCCACTTTTTCCTCTCCGTCTTCATGCCTGAGGTAGTTTTAAAAGAGATTACTTGGATTTGGATTACATTGGATTACGAACAATCCAGTATTTTGGTTGTATAAATAAGTTGGAGGATTTTATGGGTCACTGATGTTCAGTTTTATGTTCAGATCTGTAAATTTAAACTTGAATACACAAACACTAATCATTTTTGTGTTAAAATTATTTTATTTTATTAAGTGTCAGGGTGGTTTAACTGATCTATTATGATGAAAATAATAATTAAAATTATTAAATTCTGAAAACTAAACATTATTATTATTATTATTATACTTGTATTATTTAATTATTTATTAATTATGTAATTAATAATTGTTATAATTATTTATTTGTTTTGTTAAAATATTAATATTTGTCATGTGAATAAATATCAACCAGCCATATAAACATAATTATATTCATAAATTAATACATCTTTTTTTTAATAAACACAAATGAATGAATGAATGAATGAATGAATGAATGAATGAAATGGCATTATTATTATTTTATTTATTTTTATTGTATTTATTTATTTTGAAGAGAAGAAATCTTTACATATTATTTTTTCATATTTTGTTTCATTTAGGCTGTCATTCATTCATTCATTCATTCATTCATTCATTCATTCATTCATTCTCATATTCATTCTCATACCTTAAATGTATAATTTATATTATGTATTATTCTAATAAATAATCTGCATTTCACATTTAACTTTCATGCATAGTTTATTTTTATGCTTAGTTGTTTTATTAAGTAATAGTAATATTGCAATTATAATAATATAATATAATATTGTAGTAATATTGTAATAGTAATGTAATAGCAATATTTAAGCACTTAAAATGTATATATACATATATATATATATATATATATATATATATTATAAATTATATTTTGAGAGAATCCTTGTGCATCTGTAAATCTTTTTTTGTTTTTTGTTTTCACTTTTCGATTAGGTTTTTCCATGGCTGAGAGCTCAAAAATAGTAAGAGTGATCATTTTTGACAATAAAACAGGCTGCACTAAAGTAGAGAATCTTACCTTTTAAGGAAATGTTTCTTATATCAAAACAGTGCTACTGATAGCTACCTTACATAGCCCATGGTTCCCAGTATAATAAGTGTGATGAGGACGTCTCTGCAGCCCACAGCGAACGGCTGATGCTTCTGTTGATTGTGTTTTGGCAGACTTGTGATCGTGAGTGCCAAGCCCTGCAGGTAAAGCTCTTCAAACAATCAGTTGGCGATGACTGTCAGGTCTTTTCAGTCTCCGCTGTTGGCCTGAGAGGCATATGTTGTTTGTATTTCTGTCACAACCAAACTAACTTTCGTCTCGGTATGGAGTGGAAATGCAAACAATGGGTTCTTGTTGTCTGCGAGGCATGTCAGGGCTTTTTTTTCTTTATGTATGATTGATACACAGTATTTTCATCTGACAATTTTGAAGGAAGGTTTCTAAGTCTGATTCTTTCTTTCGTAGGGAGCGCGGGGACGTCCGTCACGTTCAATCGGAATGGCGACGCACCCGGACGGTACGATCTTTTCCAGTACCAGATGAATATCAACAACACTCCCGGATATAAAGTTATAGGACAGTGGACAGAAACTCTCCAACTTCACGTGAGTAAATTTGATCTGCAAAAGCGTCGACATGAGAAAATGTGGTTCAGATTCATCCATGAAATGTTTGCAATGTGATTTTGGTGAGATAGTGAGAATGAACTTGCATTTTAGGCGGTTTTACTTTCCCAATTGTGAAAACATCCAATAACACCTGCTGAATGTACCATTTATGTACTCAAGAAAATTCAGTGAAAGACACATTTTATTTTTTCATTGTGTTGGTCTTGTTGTGTTTTTACACACTTATATTTATATTTATTATTCAGTTTCAGAAAAATAAGATAGAATGCGAGGTTTTTTTCTTCCTCATTTTGTTGTATTTATCTAGTTTTGTTTGTAGGCTGTTCATTCATTCATTCATTCGTTTACATTCCATTAATTTAATGTTGTTTATATTATTTATCCTTTTGTTTAAAAAATAGTGAGAAAGTTTCATACAAATATTACATTTTTTTATTCATTCATTCTTTCATTCATTTGCATGCATTGAATTTATCTTTCATATTATTTATTATTCCATTTAAAAAAATCACTTAGACATTTTTACAAAAGTGTGTTCATACTTTTTCATATTTTGTTGCATTTATCTAGTTTTGTTTTAGTCTGTCATGCATTCATTTATTGATTTACATATATATATATATATATATATATAATTTTTTTCACAAATTTTCTTTTTTTCATATTTAGTTTTCATATCTAGTTTACTTTTTATACTTTTTTGTTTTTAATATTAATTCATATGTAATAGTAATATTTAAACACCTAAAAGGTATTATAAATTATTTTATTAATTATCCTGGATTATTTGTATATATTTTTTCTTCCTCCATTTCCCTCATTCCATATCTCTGCATTTTATAATCATTTACTCCACTTACATGTGTCTGGTTTTATTCCCATTATTTTGATTCTGATGGTTCGGGAAGCTCTTTCTACACCCAGCAGTTGGGCACAGCCAAGCATAGCAGTTAAACATAATATAATTTAGTCCAGATAATTGCTAGGGACATTTAAAAGATTCATCTTAATAGTCAGAGCTTCATAAGACCATAACTTCTGATTGAACCATAGTTTATATGTGAAAGTATATGAGAAACCCTTGCTCTGGGCCGTACAGGTTATTATATGTGCAGTAATAATATCAGTGATCTGTTCATGTCTATGGATGCTTGGATTATTGAGCATGCACATGGCAGCAATAAATAAAGTTCAATTCAAATAAAGCGAAATCAAATTCTGTTCATGCACAGTCTGAATATGAAGTCTCACTCTCAGCATTACTGTAAATCCGAACATACACTGTTTGAGTTCAGGAGCTTGTGAGCCCTTGTACATGTTACAAGTCAGTTAACCTGTTAATTGCATCAAAGCAGTTGGTACACGGAATGACTACATTGCATAGCGAGCCGGTGGCAATTGCATGAGCTCTGGCGCTAAACACATACCTTGGCGTTTTTAATATTGTTACATAACTTAGGAGGAAAAAAGAAAGAAACCAAAAAGACAGCTATGCAGATGGTTTGGTGAACAGCAGGATACAGCATGGCTGTTCCGTTCAACAGAAACAACTAGAGAGTGTTTTGTGTGTGTGTCAGTGTATGTGCACGCTATAGAGTTGCTAGTAGTCTAGTTGATGTTGTTGTGTATGATTTATGAATAGGTGAGAGCCTATACACTGGTCAAATTCAGGCCGACTAACCACATTTTTTTCAAATTCTCAGGAGGCGCTTTTCCACTGAATGGTACGGCTCGGTCCGGTTCACTTTTTGGGGGTTTTCCACTGGGTACAGTACCTGGTACTTTTTTTTAGTACCACCTCGGTTGGGGTTCCAAGTGAACCGTACCGTTACCAAAATGTGACGTGTAAACTCTGCTGATCACGTATTGGCCGGAGAGAATCGTCACTACCTGCGTCACTGAACTTGAGACACAAACACAAGAGAACCGCTAGATTTAAATCAGCACAGTCAGCGAAGGATCGAACGCAACTGTTTTGAACGAGCGCACCTTTTATAACAAACAAAAAGTTTTGTTGTCTGTTGCGGAAGTACAGGTGTTCCTCTTGTTGATAGCAGAGGAACGGATCCAGCAAGAGCTTGATGGGGCGACGCGGAATGAAAAAGTTTTTTTTAGGAGTCGTGGTAGTAGAGGCGGCGCAACTATAACGACATGTGAATAATCCCGCCCACTCTAAAGCGGTACTGAACTGCAGTGGAAACGCAAACCGTACTGAGCCGTGCCGAGCCGAGTCGTACCACGCAGTGGAAAAGTGCCATAAGTTAATCGACATGGCTCTGCTTTCGTTTTGAGTTTTATTTTGTTTTATTGTTTTGTTTTTTGTTTTAAGTTTGTTATTTTGTGTTTGGTTGTTTTGTTTTTGTTGCTTTGCTTGTTTTGTTTTTAAGGTTTTTATCCTTTTGTTGTTGTTTTGTTTTATGTTTTGGTTTGGTTTGTGTTGTGTTGTTTTGTTTTTAGTTTGTGTTGCTTTTTTAAGGTTTTGTAAGGTTTGTGTCCTTTTATAGTCACTGACAAATTAGGTTTAATTTATATTTATATATATATATATATATATATATATATATATATATATATATATATATACATATTTAATCATTTATATTTTAATGTATTAATTTATCAATAATAATTTATTTAATAATTTGTCATGTGTATTTCCATGTGAAATTAGGCAAAAACATTTTAATGTACAGTATTAGTCATACTAATAAAATATTACCAATATGATCACCAGTATATTGTACTGGTGTTTTCCCCAAAAATATATATATATATATATACTTTTTTTTTGTATGACCCAACTATTATCAGTCCACATGAGACTGGGTTAAATTAACACTCATAAAGTAATGTATTGCACTGCATTGACCAAGCATTCACATCTACAGTTTGTTCATGCACTTGCATAAAGTATATTTGTGCCCTTAACCATTTGTTTCAAAGTATTTTGAACACTGGTAGTTAGTCTCCTCTATGTAATTAAACTTCTTAGATTAGCAACTTGTTAACTGTCATTGAAAATCATCTGTTATATCAACACACTTCATCCAAGTCATAAGAGGCATTCTAGTTGAGATCAGTGTTAATGACTTCAGGTCACATGATCTTTACACAAGGACTTATTTTATTTTATTTTTGTAGTGATTTACATCAGAATTAAAGATTTTAGTATTGTCATGTCTGCTCTTGCTGTAGATAAAATATCACTTGTTTCACTTTATTCATCATTTGCTTTTCTTATATTGAAATTCCATCACGAGGTTCATTATTAATTATTCTAAAAATGCTAGGAAAGGATTTGATGTCATGTGACATTATCTGAACCCGCCTACAACATCTCATTCACAACAGCTCAGTGTAATTCCCTGACATCTGGTTGTAATTCATCCAAAAGTTTGATCATTCTTTTATTTCCATGAAGGCAAAGAATAATTGTATTTGTTGTGGGAAGTGTGAGTCTCATCATTTGAGCTTAATTGTCAGGCTGTGTTCTCGCTTGGCCTCAATAATGTTGTAAATGGATTTGTCTTGCATTGTGGGAATCCTTTTTATGCTCAGCCTGTGAGAAGCTGTATTATTAGAGGAGAGAAGAAGGGAGAAAGTGAGGGTGAGAATGCTGTCCACTTGTGATTCACATCTTCCAGCCTCCGTTGAGTCACAGATGAGGAATCTGACTGAGTCGTCTCCAAAGATTGCCTACGGCTCCTGCAGCAAATGTCATTTACACCTCAACCCCCGTCCTCGGCCCTTCACAGAGGGGAAATCGAGGAAATGGCGAGATAGTGCCGCAAACCGTCCTACAGGGATTCTTGTCTTTCCTCGTCGACGAATGAAGCATCGCTGCTTCCCGAAGTTCCTTGACAAACTGCTGATCATGCAGGAATTGTGCAGTATATGCAGATTATGTTTAGCAAAACGGCTTGAAATATATTCTACATAAATCAGAACACAATTAGCAATACAACCAGTTGCAAATTTGCAAAATAAACATATTTAGGTCACATTTACATCCGTTTTTTAGGTTTCTTTAGGTTACATGATCAACACACAAGGATTCTACAAATATTAATTTGTTATTATTTTATAATGTGCATTAATACTAAATAGTGTTTTCTATTTTCTTTTATTATTATTATTATTATTATTATTATGATTTTAAACTCCATTCAAGTATTTGAAAGATTTATTTGACACATCGTTGCATTCTGTTACAACAAATTCACAACAAACTTGTACATTTTCTGCTGTTTGTTTGTCATACTTTCTGTCAAATAAAAATTCTGTCTATATATATATATATATATATATATATATGTATATTAATTTGATCAATATTTTTGGTGAAATGAATTACAGTCAAATTAAAAATCAATACTGTATATATATATATTGCGGGCAACAGGGAGGGGCATTAATATGCGGGGCATTGAAATCGCTGTTGAATGGGCGCTCGCTTTTTACTTTCAATTTCGAGATTCGCAATCACATGTACTCTGTGTACTACAGAGCAAATCATTCGCCATCGTCATATCAGTCATCTCTCCTTACTCGGTTTATGTGGAAAGTTAAATTGTATGTACTGTAATCTATCAGGCTACTGCTAGCAAGTGGCTAACCATGTCCCTTTAGTTGCACCGTAGAATAACTTATTCATTTTCCATGCCTTTCCGAATACGGATTCACTATTCGGGCACATCCCTAATTAATACTCAATTCAATTCAATTCAAGTTTATTTGTATAGCGCTTTTTATGATACAAATATACACAAAATTAAGTTTATACAATAGTTAGTAGTAGCTTATCAGTGGTGACTGTCAGTTTATGTACATATGGCAGAAATGTACGGAAAAATAAATTAAAGACGTAATCAAACAGACGATGGACACTATTAGCAGCAATTATTATATGATGCAATCAAACTTATAGCAAAGTTTGGTAGTTCTGTATGTTGTTTCAGGGATGGCATCATCTGAGG